GGGATTACAGGCGTGTGTCACCATGTCCGGCTTTATCTATACTTTTGTGTGGTGCTGGACATCGACCCCAGGCTCCTGAACATATATGTGACAACCAGTCACATCCTCAGTCCTACATTTTATTTTTCATTCATTCATTCATTTTTTTTTTTTTTTTTTTTTTTTTTTGAGACAGGGTCTCGCTATGCAGTTCAGACCTGCCTTGAGCTCACTTTGTAGCCCAGGCTGGTCTTGAACCTGCAACGATCCTCCTGCCTCAGCCTCCCCAGTGCTGGGATTACAGGCATGTGCCACCACGCCCGGCTCATTCATTCATTTTCACTACTGGGGATTGAACCCAGGGCCTGAGCATTGACTACAGCCCCAGCCCTTTTAAAATTTTGGGACAAGTTCTTACTAAGTCACTAAATTGTCTGGAATGGGCTGGAATTTGTGATCCTCCTGCCTCAGAATGGTGGGATTATGGGCATGCAATATCACATCCAGTATCCTTTTCAAATTTTCAGGTGTTTTAACTTTACCAATGTAGTACATATTTGTATGTCAATAGCAGCTACCCAGTAAGGCCATCTCTGACCATGAAATTAACATCCTCATGGCACCCCTTTTTGCCTCACTTTTATTTTCATAGTGCTTCTCTTACTCTTATCAATCTCTCCTACTAAATTCTAAGCTCTTTGAGGACTATTTTATTCATTGCTATATTCAGAGCATCTAAAATGATGCCTTACACTCACTGGACTCAATGACTATTAACTGACTGAAATATCTCCATCTAAGCAGTCATGAAGTCTTCTAGATTCTACCTCCTGAGTTCTCTCAAATCTCTGTCCAGTGTTCCTGCAGTACAATTGGATTATGCCTTGCCCAAATTACTGTCGCAACCATCTCCAGTCCTGTTCTCATATAATTCACATTCTGAATTGCTGTTAAAGTGATCCATGTCCTTCAATAGATTCCTATTGCTTTTAGAATAAAATCCAAATTCTTTAGCAAAACATATGGACCTCCAGGATCTGAACCCTAGCTAATTCTACATTTTGAATTCTTGTCAGCTTCTTCCATGTATACTCTGCTCTAATCATCCCTTGCTATTTACAGTCCCATATTGTTTGCACATGCCATATTTTCTGCATGGGATGATATCCATTCCCAATCCCCAATGCCTGTCTGGCTAGCTCTTACTAGTCCTCTCTAAGAAGTTCTTCTTAGCTCCAGGTTGGAGTTACATGCCTTCCTCTGTACCTTTGAGATAAGCTGGGTATATTTTCTCGTTTATCACATTCATATGAACTTGTCCAACACTAGATTGGTATAGAGTAGTCAAGAAATGTTACTGAAATAGGCGGCCGGGTATGGTGGCGCACGCCTGTAATCCCAGCACTCGGGAGGCTGAGGCAGGAGGATCAGTGTGAATTCGAGACCAGCCTGGGCTACAAAGTGAGCTCAAGGCCAGCCTGAACTGTATAGCGAGACTCTGTCTCAAAAAAGACCAAAAAAAAAAAAGTTACTGAAATCAACTACACCAATCTATCTTTTTGGTTTTTTTTTTTTTTTTTTTTG